TTCTCCCCCTCTCCCCGCAATCCTCCATAGCAGCCATGAAGGTCCAAGTTAGCCAGACTCAACCACAAGAACTGTCTCTCTAGGATCTCTCTCTAGCAGGTCACTTTTTAACTGTTTGGTGTCCATTTGATCTTTAGGTTCCAGCCTTGGCAGGACATAGGGGTAGCTGTAAGTTTTAATTGCACTGTTAACAGAATACCAATTGAAATTTATTAAATATTTTAGATGTTTTTCTACATTTTCATATACATTGTATTGTAATTGAAATCAAATATTTGCAATGTAAAAATGATAAAAGAAATAGTATTTTTCAATTCACCTCATACATGTACTGTAGTGCAATCTCTTTGTCGTGAAAGTGCAACTTACAAATGTAGATTTTTTTTTTGTTACGTAACTGCACTCAAAAACAAAACAATGTAAAATTTCAGAGCCTAAAAGTCCACTCAGTCCTACTTCTTGTTCAGCCAATCGCTAAGACAAACAAGTTTGTTTACATTTATTGTAGATAATGCTGCCCTCTTATTTACAACGTCAGCAGAAAGTGAGAACAAGCAAGCATTTGCATGGCACTTTTGTAGTTGGCATTTCAAGGTATTTACGTGCCAGATATGCTAAACAACCGTATGGCCCTTCATGCTTGGGCCACCATTTCAGAGGAAAATGCTTCTATGCTGATGACACTCGTTAAAAAAGTGTGTTAATTAAATTTGTGACTGAACTCCTTGGGGGAGAATTATATGTCCCCTGCTCTGTTTTACCTGCATTCTGCCCCATATATCATGTTATAGCACTCTCAGATAATGACTCAGCACGTGCTCATTTTAAGAACACTTTCACTATAGAGTTCACAAAACGCAAAGAAGGTACCAATGTGAGATTTCTAACCAACCCAAGGTTTAAGAATCTGAAGTGCCTTCCAAAACCTGAGAGGGACGAGGTGTGGAGCATGCTTTCAGAAGTCTTAAAAGAGCAACACTCCGATGCAACTTCAGAACCCGAACCACCAAAAAAGAAAATCAACCTTCTGCTGGTGGCATCTGACTCAGATGATGAAAATAAACATGCACTGGTCTGCATTGCTTTGGATTGTTATTGAGCAGAACCCATTATCAGCATGGACACATGTCCATTGGAATGGTGGTTGAAGCATGAAGGGACATATGAATCTTTAGAGCATCTAGCATGTAAATATTTTGCGACACTGGCTACAACAGTGCCATGAGAACGCCTGTTCTCACTTTCAGGTGACATTGTAAACAAGAAGCGGGCAGCATTAGCTCCTGCAAATGTAAACAAACTTGTTTGTCTTAGTGATTGGATGAATAAGTAGTAGTACTGAGTGGACTTACAGGGTCTAAAATTTTACAGGTCTAAAAATAAATATATTTGAAAATGTAGAAAACATCCAAAAATATTTAAATAAATGGTATTCTATTGTTGTTTAGCAGTGCAATTAATCACGATTTATTTTTTTAATTGCTTGACAGTCCTAATAATACTCACAGATTAATGCAGAGCAGCTCCACATCCCACACACCCCCACGTGCAATGGAGTTGATGTGGAAAGATATAAAAAGATAGCTTACTTTGGGAACTTTTGGTAATCAGGGCCCAGATGTAACCTCATGCCACAAGGTTTTACAGAGAGTCAAGCAAGGCTCTTCCACTCAATAAAGATCTGCCAATTGAGTCATCATGACTCTTATAACAGTTTGGATAAATATGATCTCAGATCTTGCCCACCTCTATCAATAATTTATATTTAAATACAGGTGTAAAATGGTAAGTAGTCTCAAATGATGTGTTAAGGTTGATGAACACAATACCCAGAGCATATTTGCAGCTGTCATCCTTGTATCTCCTGAATTATCACCATGTCTTGGAAGCAATTTTTCACAGCTTTTTCTTTACTGTCCTTGCCATCTACATAGACTGAAAACTTATGGAAAGAGAAAAAGCACATTAGACTGCTACTTCACTTCTAAATAAAGTTTTATCTTCTCATAACAGAAGCTTTGTAGTGTTAGTGGATAGTTTCAACAGGAGCTCATATCACAATCAACACCTAGAAATATAACTATTCCAGAAAGTATCTTAACAGTATAAAAGATTTTATTTATTAGATTTTAAAAATATAAGTAAAGGTCATATGATAATTTGACATTTCAAAATCATATTCAATCCTTCAGCTTCATAAAAATGTTTAACTCATTAATTCTAAATATGAAGATAGCTTTAAATGACTTAATATTCCCTTTATGAGCTAAGATTTTTATGTAATTGTATAATTCTCAAAGGATCTTAAGCATTGAGCTTCTGCAATTCTTCCTCCAATAAACCTTCATATTTTGATAATAAAGGGATATTCCAATTTAAAAATCTCACTTGTCTGAAAATGACCTACTGTACTTCTAAAGGCCTAATATTGCTACAAGTGAAAATTAGAAAGAAAAATATTCTTCAGTGTATGTTTTGTTCATTAGACAGCACTCTGCATAAAGTCAGCATTCCTTGTTGCTGTGTTGAGACCCATGCAAACAACAAGAAAGAGGAAAACCTTTTAAAAATAGGAAAATGATGACAAAACAACATTTGTCAGGAAAACTAAGGGGCACACAGTACATAGGCAGCTGCTGTGTATCACACTGAATTGAATTCATATCTTGTGTTCCTTTATGTATTTCCAACTGTTCTGTCATTTTATGCCTAGGTTGCAAACTCTTTGGGCCAGGATTGTCTTTTTATTCCACGTTTGTATAGGGCCTGGCACAATAGGCCGGGGTTCCTTTCGCTATCTCCACAATACATAATAGTATCTGTAAGCTTTTTTAAAAAAAAGAGTAACTAGATTTCAAGTAGACAAAGGTCCACTTAAATTCATTTGATTTTACTCTGCTCTGAATTTTCAATGTGCATCAGATATTTGTATGGACAACACAACTGGCATTATAGAAAGATTTGGCAGCTGGTAAGAGACAGATGGAAACTTTTTGCAGCCAGGAAAGTGTGGGAAGCAGTTTGGGATTATGGGACAAACATAATAGCTGGCTATTTCTGCTAAAATAATCACTGACAATATCAGTGTCGTTAGGTTTCAGAGTCAACTGTTCACTGAGAAAATGAGGGCAACTCATACCTTGTTAATGCCATTGTTTTAGATCTGTTTACACTGGTTCATGTTTGGAAGTATTTCTCCACAGCCATAAGGACTAGGAGTGTAGTGGTTTTTTAAATAAATTTTTGACTCCGCCACATAAGACCTGATCATGGATAAATCACTTAAGCCTAATCTTTCAACTTTTGGCAGATCTGATTTTTGAAGATGAGCTCATGGTGCATCTGCTGAGTTCAACTGGAACTCTGGATTCTCATCTTCTAAAGATCAGGTCCCAACTCTCTTTAGATGGAACCCTGAAATTGAGAGACATCTAAAACTAGTTGACATTTTAACAATGAAGGTGCCAGCTCTGTGCAGGTGGACTGTGGCACCCATCTGGACTCCACAGATTTCAGTGCGGGTCCCCGCTGGTCCAGAGCTCTGCCTGCCTGGAGCCAATAGGAGGATTAGGCCCTCAGACTGTAGTCTCTACGGGTGAAAATATGTTCTGTGCCTACGAGAGGTGCAGCACAAAACTCAACCTCTGTGGGGTCTATGGTGGCTTTATGCTACTTTTGACTTCTCCGTATTCTGGACTGCTATGGCACCCAGAATAAGTCACACGGCCCTGGAAGGCAGCCTAAGTTATAGCAGCCTGTTGCCAGCTGCCTATGGGTGGTAGCAGCATCTCAAATCCCCAAAATGCTAGGTGCTGTAGCCCTTCCCCCAACACACCCTTCTCACCATTAACTCCATGGCACCACACCCCCTTGCTGGTGCTTGTAGAGGTGGCTTTTTAGAACTGCACAAGATGTGTTAAACAAAGCCCAGAATAAGTCTCACAGCCCTGGTACCATGGAGCTTATTTAATTACATGTTTATAAAAAAAAGTCTCATTAGATTCTCAGTTTGGGAGCTGCTCTAGACATTCTGAGTTTTATATAGCATTTATTTCCTCTTGTAACCCTTGACATTCAACTATCTTAAAACCATATTCTACACTTACTCTGTAAGCAAAGCTCCCATGATATCAATAAAAGTTTTGCATAAACATTTTGCCCTTAATGATTAACACAGAACAATGTTTTTTAACTAAGAGTTTAGCTTCCTAAGGGAAGCCTAAACAAACCCAGGGAAAATGTAATATATACATATAGACATATTAAATGCCAATTATATATATTGTACATACTTAGCGTTTTCCCCCTTACACTTTGGACAATTAGAAACCCATAACTATTATTTAATACTATAGCCAATAGAAGGTTTTTGCCTACTGGTAGGATTATAACAGCTTGCACTTCATTGTTGAAATATTTGCGTACATTTTTTGTTTTAACTGTATCTAGTGTAAAAACAACCATTATTTCAGCTTTGCTAAGTCTACTGCCCAAATAAAGAAAAAAAATGTGAAATTGAACCACAATATAAACTATAACAGAGAAATTAAAAACCTGTGAATAATACACTGACAAAACAAATTGAATTTAAAAATCATTGTGTTCAAGTTACAAAAGAGACAACTTGTGAACATCAGGCTTTGGTTAAAAACAATCAAAAGTTTATTTAATTTGAGGTGTATGATTTATTTTGCTCCTTGTTATCAATAATGGCAATTTATCTTCCGAGGATCACTTTGCCTCCAATGTTGCATACAAAAGGCAATGTTTCATTAAAAACAGTTATCTTTTTTTATAGTAAAACCTAAGGGAAGCAAAGGACATATGCAGTACATCATTTTAAAAATAATTTAATTATTGCTGAAACAGTTATCAGTTCAAAAGAACAGATATGAAACTTATAATAAATATTTTTCAAGAACATTACAAGAAAGAGGAGCTAAAAAAGTAAGTTAGGTATAAACTGAAACATGAAGCATAGCTTAGTTTTTAAAAAACAAGGTTTATAAAATGTTTATACTCTGCTAAACTTTTACCATACACATATGCCTTAATATGCAGAATTTGTAAGATGTTGAGACTATACTCAAAGTATTAACAGCATTAAAAGAAGATGGAATTGTTGACTATTTTAAAAGTGTAATTTTTAGAAATATAGAATATGTACCAGTCAACAGTCCACATACCTATTAATGTGGGCATTGCTCCCCTTATCTCAGGGGATACAAAGACACATGACTATGTGGTAAGATATGTTGTGTTTATACTTATTTACTTCAGTTTCCCTTGTTTTCTGATTTGTCACCAACCCAAAGTAGTATTTTCTTTCAGAAAAATCAATCCGATTCAGAAGCATGTACTTCAAGTGATCTGCCCTACTTCTCAAGGGGAATCAAAATACAGGAACACCTTGTGAAACTGAAGACACCACCATAATCTAATCAGAAGGCTAATCACTACAAGGATTTCAATTTAAGAGTCTGTTTCATTTACATTGCCTTCTGAGTGTTCTAGAACTATGGGGAGTGGGGAAGTTTTCAAATTAAGCTAAAAGATCCTACTTCATTTTCGTTGTACAGAGCAATGAAATAATCAATGTGTTGGAATTTAAGAACCTCATTTCCCCAACTGGTCCAACCAGGCTGCAGGCAGCGAGCAAACAACTCCAAACATTCTGCATCAGGTTTGATATATTTTGTCAGAATCTCTGTGCAAAAGGAAAAAAAAGAAACAAAGATGATGATGAAAAAGGAGTGTTTAAAAAAAAAAATCAATTTCCTCTGAGCTGCTGGGAGATGAAAAAAGGAATGTTTCATTAAAAAAAAAAAGACAGCAAATTAATTTCAAGGATTTCATCAACCAGCTTGACTATTTATAGTCAGAAAGTCATTTGAAATAAGTGCCCTTGAGATTTTGAACAATACTGTCAAAGCCTTCAATAGCCCTGATTTATCGGTTTTCATTTGGAGTCAGGGAATGAGGATTTCAGTGCCTACATAGGTGACTTTTCAATTTTTCAATATTGTCATCATAACATCTCCTGAGTACTGACTTGACTCTCTTTTTTAATACATGGACATTCAAAAAAGAAGTTTTCCTTCTTAAAGAGCAATTGCTTCTGATTATTTATTAGGACTGCAGTGCTCCCCACCCTTCACAACACAAAAAGGATAGAGCAATTAGAATCATAGAATATCAGGGTTGGAAGGGACCTGAGGAGGCCATCTAGTCCAACCCCCTGCTCAAAGCAGGACCAATTCCCAACTAAATCATCCCATGAATTAGTGATGACATCCTGTAAAAAGGTGAAAGAGAAACACCAGTTCAAGCATCTAGTAGTTAGTAGGTAGTTAATACAGAGACGACGACTTCTTCATAACACTAGAATCAGTGTATCCTGGAAGCATTAGGAGAAAAGTCTATAAAAGTATTCTTTCCTTTAGTGTTACAAATATAATCACATTTCTTCTACAATTTAGTATTCTTTTTAATGTTTAAATCTAAATAAATTGGTATTTTCTGTTAAAATACCAATTATTTCACTTATTATGAGGAATATTTGGTATGGGAGGGGCAGGGAAGGTATCTTGATTCATTGATTTTATCTGAAAGGCATTATTGCAAATATTTCTTACATTTTTGAATGGGGTACTTGTCAGACAGATCAATATAGCTCGCTGCTGGGTCAAAGGGATTCTTAATTGTTAAGTTTCAGGGAGAAGGTTTAAAGTACAAAAAAAAAAGCTTACTAAGTAAAAGGGTTTAAAAAGTGACATAGTATGTAGGAGTGGGAAAGCCTGAAAAATACCTCCAGAACAAAAATATGCCCCAGCAATGTAATTTTAACATGTTACTGACTAGAAAATTGAAAAAACTCCCCCTTTCTAAACTTTCCTCCAGAACTCATTCAGAATTTTCACTATTCCTCATGAAACATGAGGCATAGAAAACAATTCATTATTATAACAGGCATTTTGTTACCTGAACTGATCTCTCCTCTCACTATCATTTCAGAAAGTAGAAATACATCTGATCAGCATACATCAAAGCAAGGGTGAAAACATTTATGGCCAGAATCCATTGTTTGATTTTCGGGTCAGAGTTGCCCATCAAAGAATTACACTTTCAGGTAGGTGGCCACTTGCAGATTTCCCATCTGTTCAAATGCACATCATGAAATGCTCCTGCTGCTGGAAGATGAATATGCTCCCAAAGATCTACTGTGTGGCAATCTTACCACATGCTTTTTCTACCCAAACGTTTTCCCTTCTCTGAAAGCTGCAATCCACTTTAAACTCATTCTAATATTTTTAAAATATCTAAGGTTTTTTCCCTTTAAAGTTTCCATACCTCTCATATTTTGGTACAAGCACAGGTCATGTAGACCTGCCCCAACCCTTAAAAAAAAAAAAACCACCCACAGAAATTCTACAGGTGACTTATTCACACTGGGTTTTTTTTTTTGCCACATAATACTGCTATTACTAATAATCTCATATTGGAAAATCTATTCCTTCTAATAAGCAGGCTAGAAAACCTAATCCAATCTAACATTTGCATAAGAGTCTAGCAGCTTTAGAACAAAATGTGCATTCTGACAGCAAGCCTGCTACACTGCTCACAAGCATTTCCCTCCCTCCATCTAATTAGACAGCTAGATAGTACTCCTCAAAAAAATGTGCCAATATCATTTTGCAAAGCCACCACCTTAAGGAAAAAAAAAAACTGTCATTCTTTTCCATGCTCTCTTTAGTTAAAGATTGTTTGTGTACTGATCTGCTGCCAGTATTTTAACAAACGTCTCCCAAAAATCTATCCCCCTGGTCATCTAAGAAAGCCCATGTAAGAGTGAATCTCTAAAGCCCCAAGCTTTCAATAAATTCTCCCTGGGAAGAACTCTGCTCTTTTGACTTCAACAGGGACCAGCACATGCAGAGCTTATTGAAACATCAGAGCTTTAGTTTCTTTTCCCCATTTAAAAATAAAACCCACTTTTTATAACCAAAAAATCCAAATAAGAAACCATTTGGCCAACAAGGTTTTATTAAATTTATATTTTCGAGTACTTGTATTTTGTTCCTAAAAAAATTAATTTCTATACATATATATACAGAGAGAGAGAGAGAGTGTGTGTGTGTATATATTGATGCTGCAACAGGAAATCCAGTGGCACTAGTATTACTAATTATCGAGCACCAAAACTTTCATCTTCTGAAAAGAATTTTAAAATACCTACTATCTGACACAGCACAAGGGAGAAATTACTTCTGATAGGGATTACTTAGCTGTAACCAGAGGTGCGATGCCAACATTTCCATCAATTTTGGCGACAGAATTTAACCAGGGGTTCCTAGGAGTCTCTCCCACTTTCCCTTCCCCTATAGCCCCTAAAGATCCCACTCCAGAACATGATGACTGTGTGCACAGATGCAGCCAGATTATATTTACAATAATTCAAGCTATCACAATATAATTTTTCATAGCTTGGATTGGGTATTTACATAATCACATCAGGCAATACCCCTCAGTGCAATGAAAATTAGCATATATAGAGGGCAATAATATGGCCGTATTTTGTTGGTATAAAATCTAATGCCACCAGTTTACCTGAACATTAACTTTCTATTTTAAGCTATTAGTCCTACCTTCTCAAGTATATGTTAATATACTCTTGGGACTGATCTTTAGACGTTAAGCAAAACTCTTTAAGAGAGTTAAATTTGTGCTTAGCACAGGACCAGGAAAGGGTGGGGAGGGAGTGTTGGAGGTTGGGCAAAGGTGGCATTATACCACCTAGCCTTTGTCTAAGCCTCCAGTTGGCTGAGTTCCAATTTATGCCTGGCTGCCAACAGCCCCACAGACTATTGGACAGCAGAGTATCACATGGGACATAAGGACTTCTTTAATTCCCTCTCAGGCATGTCTCTACAACATGGCTCAAGGGGGCAAAGAACTGCTACAGGAAGCAGGTTTTCTCTGGGCTTCCAATGCTTTGCTCTGCTAGAGCAGGGCAAAGTGGCTGGGGAAGACCCAAGAATAAAGCCCAGGATTTTTAAGTTGGCTGTCTCTTCATAGCCAATAACTTCTTTACAAACTGTGGAAGAAATCTGAAATCTCAAGAGCCAGTCTAGGAACCTGTACAAAAACACAAAAAATCCCCAAAACATTATTTGAAATTCAACATTGGTCAGTGTCCTCCATGTAAGAGAGCCACCCTTTATGTATCCTAGCAGCAACAATGAATTGAACTAGAAGGAAAACCTGCTGTTATTTGAAACAAAATCATAAGTGATAAAATTTCATTTTAAAGTATTTGCATAAACCAGTTTAAGTACATCTATAATGACATATTAAAGCTGTGAGCACTAAACGCAGAACATGTATCACCAGAAACCCCTACAGTCATGATTTCATAGTTAAATGCACTGCAGGAACCCGAATGTCTCCTTTTGATGGCTTGCTTTAATTTGCATCTTCCTCTTCCCCCAGAGAAATAAATTGTTATAATCAGTCATTAAATGGCTACGTATGTACCAACATAAAACTTTACAATAGTAACAAGAAATCAAGTGCCAGACAGTAGCAATAAATACTAATATTTTTGGCTTTGTTGCTACTTAAACAAAACACAAAGAATGTGTGTGTGTCAAGTTTCCTTCTCCCCCATCCCCAAACTTCAGCTTCTGTTCATATTGTTCTAAATAATCTAGGAATGTGGATCAGCTGCTCTCTACTGGCAAATCTAGAATACTGCCTTAAAAAAACCCCAAATAACCCTGTGTAATACTACTACAATACTAAGAACATCTGCAATATCTTTAGACAGAAGCAACACCTTTATTCTTTAATTTTTGCTGTTCTAAGAGTAACCTTTACTTATTGCAAATATACATGTACATTAGAAAAAAAGTGTGTAAATCACTGGCCAGATGATCTGTTCTCAGTGGTAAATTTATTCTTCCAGCAATAAAAATGAATAAAGCACAACAGGCGTGCAGCCAGTCTCCAAAAGAATTTTTGGCATGTAATATACTCACCTTACACACATCTACATCAGATATTATGTGAAAGCTTATTTTATGTACCTTTAAAGGAATATGATGTGGAACTGTCAAGTGGTGCGGTAAGGCTGAAGAGCACAGTGAAACAATGGTACCCAAAATGAGTGTATCTTTTTTTGCAGTTCTGGAACCACTACAACATGACTGACTATAGTTTTTACTGTTCATGTTAATGTCAACACCTTAATGTGGTGTTTATTGGTCAAAACTACCAATCATCAATGTATTGAAGTATTTTTATTGTTTTTTCATGGGCAAATATTTTTTCCAGCAATGATTAAGCTATTTCGCACATGGCAAAAATCAACATTTTGCAATATACTAACGTGAAATGTTTTCAGATCACATTCTTAATTGTCAAAGTATGAGTGATAAGTTTTATATTTTCAGTTGAAATTTGCTGAACAGATCAGTCTCACACTGAACTCCGGAGTTCTCTGTCCCCGGCAGGCGCGGGGCCGCAGCTTTTCTCCCATGCTGGGCAGTAGGTGGGCCCCGCACCTGCCGGGAACAGAGAACACCGCGCCCGCAGCCTGAGTTCTCTGTCCCCATCAGGCGCGGGGCCGTGGCTTCTCTCCCCTGTTGGGTACTAGGCGGGTGCACATAAATGCCCCGGTGGGTGCCATAGTGCCCGTGGGCACCGCGT